ATTCTTTCATCTATAAAAGGGGAATAATAGCATCTACCCTCACAGAGTTGTGTGAGGATGAAATGAAATGGCATATGGGAGGTACTCAAGAGAGTGTCTGGTACACAGCATGCTCTATACAAGTATTCATTATTATCACTGATACTATTAAAGCACCTTTGGAATTATAGTAGGTTCATACTTTTTATCTTCAGGAGTTTTTATTTCTTCCAGTTTCCTGAAAAACTTAAATGAACCAGGGAAACAATATCTGAAGGAAGCCTGTGTTAGCTTAAAAACCCGTCTACTAAAAATTCAGAGACTATACATATCAGGGCTCTCTAAAGTTAGATGAAGGGGGCACACATTCTTTCACAGCTCATATCTTCATAATACTTAAAAAATAGTCAAGTGATACCATTTCACATACAAAACAAAGGTCTAGTATAGTGCAGCAGTGAATAAATGGTCATTGCTATTTATCCCAAACACACTCAGGAGAAGCAGCAAATGTTACTGAGAAAATTATTAGTTCAGTTTTGGACATTCTAAATTCGAGGTGCTCACAGAATACTCAACAGACATTCCAGGAAGCGGGCAGAACTACAGACCTAAACATAGGTAGCTTATCCTCAGAAGAGTTCCTCATTCCCTCCTTTGTACTATCATGGAATTTTTCGCATCCTATGTCATTACAAATATTTGTCTCCTTCTCTACTGCTAGACTATACGCCTCTTGAAGGCATTCAGTTCCTGCCATATAAGAAGGACTCAGTAAATGATTTTTAGCTGGGCACAGTGGCACAATCCTGTAGTCCAAGCTATTTGGGAGACAGGGGCAGGAGGGTCACTTGTGCCTAGGAGTTCAAGATCAGCCTGGGCAACATAGAGACCCCATCTCAAAAATACAAAGGTAATTTTTTTAAATGCAAAAATTGTAGAACTGTACAATTTAAAAATGTATTTTATTACATGTAAGCAAATTCTGACTAAATTTTTTTTTAATTTCTGGATGTTAGATAAGGATGAAATTTTCATTTGGAAGAATTCTTACAATATAAAAGTAACATGTAAACAAGATTTTTTCAATGTTATTGCTATTTATCCCAAAAACTCCCAATTTTTAAAAATGTGGTGACATTATAATTACTAAGCACTACTGAGCTGTGAAACCTGGCATCGTCATACTCAGGCCTGTAACTCTAAAAATGTACATGACAAGGCAGGAAATATATAAATGGGTAAAGTAAGGAAGAACTCAATGAAGACTCTCAAAGTGCATTTAAATTACTTAAAATTCTGAAGAAGTTTGTTAAAATACCTGTAATGTCGATGAAAAGATTTCATTTTAAAATTTACAGGCTGCTTGAGTTCAATAACCTAAAAATGAAAAACCTCTGGACCATTCCAGTACAGGTTATTCAAAGGAGCTGTGATAAATAGCATATAGCAAATATGCTCAGTTATATGCACTAGGTAAGGCACAACTGCTATCATCCCAACCCACTAACACTTGTTAGACTACTAATCCTTTCCTTCGAAATCTGTAAGAAGAGGCCAGGCACGGTGGCTCACGCCTGTAATCCCAGCACTTTGGGAGGCCAAAGCAGGTGTATCCCTTGAGGTCAGGAGTTCGAGACCAGCCTAGCCAACATGGTGAAACCCCATCTCTACTAAAAATACAAAAATTAGCCTGGCGTGGTAGCACATGCCTGTATTCCCAGCTACTTGGAAGGCTGAGGCAGAAAAGTCACTTGAGGCCAGGAGGCAGAGGTTGTAGTGAGCAGAGATCGGGCAACTGCTCTCCAACCCGGCAACAAAACTAGATTCCTCTCAAAAAAAACAAAAAACAAAAAAACAAAAAAACAAAAAACAACAAACAAACAAAAAAAACTTCTGTTAAGAATGTTTCACTGGTGGAATTTACCACCCAAATTCAAAATATAGTAAGTTCTCCAAGGCTCTAATACTAGGACAGATTGGTTGCCAGTTCTATATTTAATAGCAGATCATGACCATTTCATTTGTGCTTGACAACTAGACAACTTGCAGTGAAACCATTTCCCAGAAATGACACTACAATGTTGTTACTTATTTAGAGGCCAGGGACCCAAAAGAACAACAACTCATTAATAGTGAATGGATGGGGAAGGCAGCAGCAGAGGATTGAAAAGGAGCAATATAAAAGGCTTAGAACCATGAACAGCAGCAGTAAAGTAGGGATTCCCAGAATGAAATTACTGTAACACAAAATAAACATAGCAGCATAAGTCCACACTTTCTCATTTGAAATACACATAAGAATTAAATATATATTGAGTCTAATTTTATACAATCAAAAGCCTAAAAATCTTGATAACAATAGAAATACTGGTAAATTTAAAAAGACTCTCCCAATTTTGGCCCTGTTTCCCTGTTCTATAAAGAAATTCATAAGGGGGGGGGGGAAACTTCAAACTATAAATGATGAATGTAACTATTAGGAATGGCCTCTCTATGAGGTCTGAAATAGAAGGAAAATGTACATTTCTTCCAGAGTTGTAGCCAACAATAACTTTTGCATTCCGAATCCAGCTTAGGTACATTGGTTGGGAAGATGTTTGCAAAAGTATTTAATAAGAAAGTGCTGAATTTAGCCTTTATTTTTTCTCAGTTTTTTTAAAATGGCCCAAGGTCCATCAAATGCACTAAACAGAAATTCTCCTAAGTATAAATGACAAAAGAATACTCTACAAGCTTTTAATTAAATTTTTAATTTTTGTGGGAACATAGTTTGGTTTTTTTAATATTTTATTTTTAATTTTGGTGGGTACATAGATTTTTTAATTTTTATTTTTAATTTTTGTAGCCTTCTTCTCAAAGACAACTGTCTTTTACAGATCGGAGATTATCAAACTTTTTCTGTAAAAGACCATATAGCAAATATTGTCAGTTTTACAGGTCATATAGTCTCTGTTGCAAATACTCAACTCTGGCACAGAGCATGAAGGCTTCAATAGACAACAGATAGATGAATAAGCCTGGCTATGGTACAATGAAAATTATATTTACAAAAATAGGCAGCAAGCCCATGGCCATAGTTTGTTGACTTCTGCTACAGGACATCTGTTTTTAACTTTACTAACAAGTATATTGTTTTAATAAATACTATAAATTTCGAAATAAGATGTCTGGGATTTGCTTTAAAATACTTCATTTTTTTTTTAAAGGGAGAAAGGTAAGGAGAAAGGTTAAATAAGACTGGAAAAACACAATTATTGTTAAAGCCCGATTACGGGTATATGGGTTTCATTACACTGTAAGCTTGAAAATTCCCAAATTAAAAGTTTTAAAAATACAAGGTAAATCAATGAACCAGCTCTACAGAAAATGAATTTTTTCACCTTACTCTAAAACTTTTAAAACATGCTTAGTATTTTTAAACATAATTAACATAATACAACATAAAAGATTCTTAATATAAAGCCACTAAACTATAATGAAAAAACTTAAACTAATCCACAAAAATGTACATAAGCATAAACCCTTAAAATTCTCCATAATTTAAAATACAGGCTCACTTCATACAGTTGCTAAATATGTCACATTTACTGGCATCTCATCTGAAAGGTGCAATCAATTTTTGGCTTTAAAATATTTTTATAAGAAATATATTATTTATATTAACATATAATAGGTTTATTACTTTTCAAGTTAATACATAAATGTCTTTCTTTTTAAATTCTAAGTAATTTTGGCAAACACGGGAAAACCCTGCCTCTACTAAAAACACAAAAATTAGCCGAGTGTGGTGGCACACCCCTGTAAACCCAGCTACTTGGGAGGTGGAGGCAGGAAAATCGCTGAACCCAGGAAGTGAAGGTTGCAGTGAGCCAAGATTGTGCCACTGCACTCCAGCCTGGGCAACAGAGTGAGACTCTGCCTCAAAAAAAAAATTTTTTTAATAATAAATTCTAAGTAATAAATATTAATAACTATAACCGTAATAAACAAATATTCTTCAGGATCTTCAATGATTAAAAGTATAAAAGGATCCTGAGGCCAAAAAGTTTGAGAGCTCCTGAACTAAATGTTTTCAATATTGTATAAAGTAAGTTCATCATGCAATTACAAGACATATACTCAAACTCATTTTACCTTTTAACAGTAATCATCACATAGTGACATTAATTCAACTATGAAGGCTATCAATTTAGCCACAAGAGGAAGACACTTAAACCTTCAACAGAAATATTCTTTTAAACTACCTGATAAGTCATGAGTATGAATATGAATCCACAGGATAAGTCATGAATCCACAGGATAAGAAGAGCACTATAATATGTGGTCCCCCATCTTATACAGACAATTGTCTCCTGAACCAATATAATGAAAAACTACCATGTGTCAAAAGACATTTCTAATAAATGTGCCACCTCTTATCAAATCAAGAGATGTAGTTTCACTTAATGCAAGAAACCAGAAATCAAGCTGAACAGAGTCTTAAGAAATCTTAATGACTCTGCAACTTCCCAAAGATTGAATACATCTGTTTTTTAAATGCTCTAAGTTTTCCCCAATGTTCTGAAACAGTGATTTCAAATATTATCAAAACTAAAAACTAATTTAAATTAGGCTTATTGAATTATTATGACAGTTGAGAAAAACTAAGACCTTCCACGTGAAAACATTCCAACCGTCCAAGAATATAATCAGTCTCAAAATTTCCTAAATCTATAAACTAGAATAGAAATAAACAATACATAACACAGACTCAAATATTAGAGCAAATATGTCCACATAATTATTCATTCTATCATTTATAAAGATGAACCAATACTCATTTTTCAAATACAGTACCACTGTAGCATTTTTAACCAATTTTGCCTCTACATACAGCAATTTAAAATGTTATCACAGTATTTCATTTTTACTTGATTAATAACAAATTATTCCCAAGTTTTATAAATGTTATGTCTATTGCCTTTCAACATGAATAAATTTAAAATAGTAATAGCAACAGCATGCAAGGATATACTTACATCATACTCTGTAATTCTGTTGCAAAGCTTATAGACTTCCCTGTATTCCTTCCACTACTTGAAGTTGCAGTAGACATTGGACTAGCTGCAGTATTATTCATCTAAATAAAAAGGAGAAATAAAGCTTACAAAATATACCTAGCTATAAGTAAATGCAAAAAAAAAAAAAGGAAGCAAATATAAATTATTTCAAAAACTAGAGAAAATTTAAATTTCTGATTTGCTTTGCATAAAACTGATTCACTTATACTTAATGTTGTTTATTAAAATGAAATAGCAAGGTGGAAAAAAACTAGTTAAGTAAGATGTCGGCCAATTACTCACTTCAGTGATAAATACTTTAACACCTATTTTATGATAGGTAATGTAAAAACAGTATTTATTAACATATTTTACTAGAGCTACTTGGTTTTCAAAATGAGCTTCAGGGAGCCCTATGGTTCATCAGCAATGCTTCAGGGAGTTCCAGGTGGACCCCAAGCACAACACACCCCCAGTTTAAAACAGAACAACTCTGACTTTTCTAGTTGATATATGAGGGTTCCAAGTAAGATTTCATTTAAAGAAACAATTCCACAGCTGAAAGATACAAAATTAGAAAACTACAGCATAATCTAATTCCCATTTGAACAAAAGTCTAAAATACAAATAATATTGTCAATCAGTAGATCAAAAGCATTGTGATATTTTATAATCCTATGGGTAAATAACTTATTCAATTTAAAATGTGACATTTTCCCAATAAAATTAAGGTGATGCATAATGATAAATTGGGTGCCAATCCTAATGTATGCCATTTTATTTAATGCATTAAAAAAATTAGCAAGATTTAGTCAAAGTAACATTAAAATAATGTCATGAAAGTAGGTAAAGCCTCAACTATTATACTATTATACTGGAAGTGCTCAATAAACGTTAGTTATTATTTCATAAGCTTGTATAAACTTTGCAAAGCTGTAATTTTCCTTAAAATATTTTTTGCAGATTCTGAAGAAGAATGTAAGATATTTAACAACATATGAAAAAGTAAAACAGTGCAGAGGACTTTTAGTAAACTAAGAGGGCAGGTTCTGGAGTCAGATTGCCTAGATTTGAATCCCACCTCTGCTCCTTTGCTAAGACTTTGGGCAAGTTACCTAACTTCTCTGTGCTTCAGTTTCCTCATCTGTAAAGGGCAATGATAATCTCACCTTCTTAGGGCTGCTGTGAGAATTAAATGAATACATACAAAAATTTAGAACAGCACTGACAGCACACAGTGAACACACAATAAATGTTAACTGTTATAATAAACAGACCTTAAGAACTCCCTCTTCCATGAACAGGGAAAATTAAGGAAGAAAAAAGAATTCCCCTTCTTGATCTGCTAAAAGCTTTTATATAAATTTAGATGTATTACCCTTTTTTCACAATTACACAAGTTTGTAAAACTTAAATATTTTTACTAAAAGACCTCTATGCAACTAAACAAATATTAAGTAGCTTCTTTGTAAGTTTAGTTTTCACTGACGACATCACTACGACTACTACTCACTTGGGCTCAAAATCTCAGTCACTACCTTGGACTCCTTCTCCTGCACCCTACAATTTGTAAAAAGTCAAGTAAATTCTACTTGCTGTATGTTCTCACATCCTTCCCCTCTTGTCCTACTGCTATGGCCCCCTAAAAACTCTTAATCTACATCTTCTATCTCCATTTCAGTTCATTCTCCAAACTGCAGCCAAATTTTTCTTCTTAATACATCTTTCTAATCTAACAACTCCTGTGGGTAATGATAAAATTCATAAAGGGAACCTAAACCAGGGTCACTTAGCAAGGGCTGCGATGGAAGGGCTGGGCCCCACAAAAGAAGGACGGGGAAAAAAGCTACTACAAATCACTGATGGAGATAGGCCTTATATGAAGCTTTTGAGAAGGCAACAGGACAAAGATCTAAGGCAAGCAGCACACTAGCTAGGTGACTAGGTTTGAAATATACCAATATCCCTCTGGTCTAGTCTGAGGGCCCTAACAGCCAGGCCAAAACCACTATACCAAGAATGCAAGAGCACAAAAAGAGAAGGAAAACAAAAACATTCCACTCAAACTGAGCCTGAAAACCAAAATTCTAAAACATATGAAGAACTTAATGCTAAGAAACACCATCACATTTTTTAAGCCTAGATTTGTGCCATTGTTTAAAAAGACTTTTGGAGTAAGTACTTTCTCTACAAATAATATAGGAAAAGAAACATAACCATTTGAGACTTGGATTAAAAAAAAAAAAATCACAAGTCCAAGACTGGGAGAAAATAGGAAACCAAGGACTTCCATAAAGAGTCCTGCAGAATTGGGACAAAATGCAAAAAAAGGGAGCCTGGATTTCTCAAAGACCTCAGAAAATGTTCCCTTGTTGTCCCAATAGAAAGCTGACAGAGCTATCTGGGACAACATGTTAAACTCAAAAATTAAGTAGTAACCCCAGCCTCCAGAATGTTATGATTTGAGTTGACTCATCAGATTTGACAGACATGCCATTCCATGGGATTATCCATCCTATGGTCAAATGCCCTGAGACATTGCTGGAGCAATCTGCTCCTTTTTCATTTTCAAATCCAGTCACCCAAACCTAGTTTATTATAACCATGATCATCCTTTCACAGTCAAGTCAATTTTTATATCAAACAGGTGAATAACATTTTTCTTGACATGATGAGCTGATAGCTCATTAGACTCTTTAAAATAATTATTTCCCGTACCCACATTCTGTTTGATTTAGATAATTAACTTCTTTTGACATTAACTTCTTTACACATCAAAGTCCTATCATTCCAATGCTCTACTTCCTTTCTTCTAGACATTAAAAAAGAAAAGTCTGTTAAAAGCAGAAGCACTCAAGTCAATTTTCACTAATAAATACAGTTACCGTGGAACTGAAAACCTACTGTAATCTTCTCAATGGGTTAATGTCCTGCAGTTGTTTCAGCTTTCAATTGAAAATGCATCTGTTTGCCATATTTTACAAAATGAATTCAGATGTGCAGATTGGGACCTAGATTATTTCAACATGCCAGAGTTTAAATGTGAACCCAAGGAATAAGTTCATATCTGATTAATAGTATTTAAACCTGATCATTAAGCTAATAGCTAATACTATAACACACCTGTAAAACTGTGTTCCGGAGAAGAAAATTTGGCATTTATCTTTTAATTTAAAATTATGGAATTTAAGGATACACCCCTATCCTTAGAAAACACTGCTATCAAAAAAAAAAGTTTTAATTGTAGTGAAGTTAATCACAAAAAGTAAACTAAACAAAATGCAATGAATATGCTACTGGGTTTCTAGTTAGATCTCATATTTTGGGGGACTAAATAACCACAGAAGAAATACCATGAAACATCTTTAAGCTTAAAAGACCTCAAATTGTCGAGAACCTTACTACTAGTTTCTGCACCCTCCAAACATCATCAAAATCTGGACTGTGAAAACTATCAGTCAACCCATTAATTAAAAGAGAGAAGTTTTAATCTTATCTTCTATACTGCTGAAGAAAACTATTTCAGCAGACCTATGTACTGATTTTAAGCATCTACAGTCTCAATTCTAATGATAACCTGAACATCCCACATAATATAAATTAATAGAAAACTTTTATAATTAGAATATTTTTATTTTCATAAAATTCCAAAGGCAGGAAGCAATTACGGTTAAGCCAACACTATTATACACTGCGTTTTAGTTTTGTTGTTTAAAAAAAATCAGGTTACATCATGATCTAAATTTCTTCTGTTGTGAAAAATAATACCAAATGGTCAATCACTGAGAATGCAAAAAATTAAAAATTAAATACATAAAATATCTATAAAAATGTCTAGACCTAGTGTTTAGAATAATACAATGGTAATCTCAGTATAGTAATATATGCCCCATTTTAAGTGGACTTTGGAAGGTATTAAAAAGCCTGGTTTATAAACTTACCTCAAATCAGTCCCACCTGACCTTGCCAGCCTCCTTTTCTACAGCAGTCAAATCAAACTTTCCCCATCTCCAGAACCATCCCATGTTCTTTTGAACCTTTACCCCTATAGCTCTCTCTACTTGCAATACCTTTTGAAACAATACAGTATCTGTCAACCTATCCAAAATCTATTGCCTAAGCCCATCTCCAAGAAACCTTCCCAGATATGTAAACAAAAGAAATTCTTTCTCTGACATCTAATTATTTTAGTTTATATTAGTTTAATATTAAATTAACTACTTTACTGCATACTAATTATTTTAGTTGAATAAGCCTCTGTCCCACAGTGAATCCCTACCCCAGCTATGGACAGCTGACATCATCTTCTACTTCCAGAGAAACAAAAAGCTATCATTTAGTCATTCCCTCCACTCTCCTCCACCAAAGACAGTGTATCCTCCTCCCTTAATTCCCTCCTCTTATAATAAAGACACCCTCTTATTTAAAGCTAACACCACCAGTGCTTTGGATTCTTCATACCTAAGAAGGGCACCTACTACAGGCCAAACACTGTTCTAAAAGGTAGGGATATAGTAGTGACTAAGTCAGACAAAAAAAAAAATACATTATAATGCAAGAGACAAGCACATAAACAAATACAATTTGAGGAAATAACAAATACTATGAAATAAGAAAAACAAGTTGATTTCAACTAGGAGGTGGCATTTAATATAAGATCTGGAAGGGAGCTCTGGAGAACTTCCCAACAAAAAGAACAGCAAAGTACCAAAATCCTGTGGCCAGTGTGGCTAGAAAGACATGAACGCAGGGGTAGCAAGAGGGCAGATCTTATAAAGCCTTTAGGCCACAGGAGTTTACATTTCACTTAAGTGTAATGTGAAGCTATTAGAGAATTTTGAAAAGGGAAGTTACTTGAAATGTTTTAGGTTTTAAAAAGATAACTCCAGCAGCGGAGAGAATATACTATACGGAAGCAAGAGTGCAATCAAGACCAGTTAGGAAGTTACTGAGGTTGTGTGCAGACAAGAGATGACAGTGGCTTGAATTAGTTTAACAAGTGGAGATGATGAGAAATGGTCAGATTTCTGGAACATATTTTGAAAGCAGAACTGATTTGCTGATGGATTACACGTGGGGT